CTCTCTCACTGCCCAGCGAGATGCGGGAGGCGAAAGTGGGGCCAAGCGTCATCAGCTACAGCTCTGGGATCAGCGCGTGCACAAAAGGCGAGCAGTGGCAGCGGGCTCTATCGCTGCTCTGCGAGATTTGGGAAGTGAGGTTGGAGCCAGACGCCATCAGCTACAACTCTGCGATCAGCGCGTGCGCTCTCCCACTGCTCAGCGAGATGTGGGAAGCGAAGGTGGAGCCAAGCGTCATCAGCTACAGTTCTGGGATCAGCGCATGCGCGAGAGGCGAGCAGTGGCAGCGGGCTCTCTCACTGCCCAGCAAGAGGGGGGAGGCGAAGGGGGAGAGCCTGCTGCCACTGCTCGCCGTTCGCATACGCGCTGATCCCAGGGCTGTATATGATGCCATTCGGCTCCAACCTCACTTCCCACATCCCGCTGAGCAGTAGTAGGGCCCGCTGCCACTGCTCGTCTTTCGCGCAGGTGCTGATCCCAAAGCTATAGCTGATGTCACTTGGCTCCACCTTCGCCTCCCGCATCTCGCTGGGCAGTGAGAGAGCCCGCTGCCACTGCTCGCCTCTCGCGCGTGCGCTGATCCCAGAGCTGTAGCTGATGACGCTTGGCTCCGCCATCACCTCCCGTCTTCCTCCTCCTCCTCCACGTCCTGACTCCCTGGCTCGCTGCCACTGCCTGCTGACGTCGAGCGCGGTTATCTTCGCCTCCTCCTCCTCCTCGACCTGGTCCTGCTCGTCCGCTGCCTTCTCCTCCTCTTCTATTTCCTCCTCTGCCGCCTCGCTCTCCTTCCTGGCTCGCTGCCACTGCCGCTGCCCATTTTTCGCACGTGCGCTGGCCCCAGCGATGCAACTGATGACGTTGGGCCCCAGTTTGGGAATCAGCAGCGCCACAACCTGCTGCCACTGCTCCCTTGTCTCGCAGGCGCGGCTGGGTCTGGATTCCAGGCGGGGGTGGGGCGGGCGGGGGACGGAGGACGAGGGGGCGAGGGGCACGAGCCGGGCCCGAACGGCGAGGGGCGAACGACGCGGGGGAAGGGGGCGAACGAGACGGGACCGAGACGAGGGGACAGAGGCCGAAGGAAAGGCGAGGGGAAGGGGCGGTGGGCGTCGTCGGTGCGCGCCGTCGTGCAGGTGCGCGTCGTTGCTGCTGGTCGTTGCAGGTGGTGCCCGTCGTTGCTGGGGGTCGTGTTGCCGGTCGGAATTGGTGCTGGTCGCAGTCGTGGTGGTGCTGCTGCTGGTCGTGGTCGTGTTGGTGGTGCTGCTGCTGGTTGCGGTCATGATAGTGCTGCTGCTGGTCGCTGTCGTGGTGCTGCGAGTCGTAGTCGCGTAGCTCTGGGATCAGCGCGTGCGCGAAAGACGAGCAGCGGCAGCGGGCTCTATCACTGCTCAGCGGGATGCGGGAAGTGAGTTCGGAGCCGACCGACTGCCATCAGCCATAGCTCTGGGATCAGCGCGTGCGCGAAAGGCGGGCAGTGGCAGCGGGCTCTATCGCTGCTCTGCGAGATGTGGGAAGTGAGGTCGGAGCCAGATGCCATCAGCTACAACTCTGGGATCAGCCCTGGGATCAGAGCGTGTACGAACGGCGAGCAGTGGCAGCAGGCTCTCCCGCTGCTCAGCAAGATGCGGGAGGCGAAGGCGGAGCCAAGCGTCATCCGCTACAGCTCTGGGATCAGCGCCTGCACGAAAGGCGAGCAGTGGCAGCGGGCTCCATCGCTGCTCTGCGAGATTTGGGGGGTGAGGTTGGAGCCAGATGCCATCGGCTACAACTCACTGGGATCAGCGCGTGCGCGAACGGCGAGCAGTGGCAGCAGGCTCTCCCACTGCTCAGCGAGATGCGGGAGCCGAAGGCGGAGCCAAGCGTCATCAACTACAGCTCTGGGATCAGCGCATGCGCGAGAGGCGAGCAGTGGCAGCGGGCTCTCTCACTGCCCAGCGAGATGCGGGAGGCGAAGGTGGAGCCAGATGCAATCAGCTATAGCTCTGGGATCAGCGCGTGCGCGAAAGACAAGCAGTGGCAGCGGGCTCTATCACTGCTCCGCGGGGTGTGGGGAGTGAGATCGGAGCCGAATGTCATCAGCTACAGCTCTGGGATCAGCGCGTGCACGAAAGGCGAGCAGTGGCAGCGGGCTCCATCGCTGCTCTGCGAGATTTGGGGAGTGAGGTCGGCGCCAGATGCCATCAGCTACAACTCTGGGATCAGCCCTGGGATCAGCGCGTGTACAAACGGCGAGCAGTAGCAGCAGGCTCTCCCATTGCTCAGCGAGATGCGGGAGGCGAAGGTGGAGCCAAATGTCATCAGCGACAGCTCTGGGATCAGCGCGTGGACAAACGGCAAGCAGTGGCAGCGGGCTCTCTCGCTGCCCAGCGAGATGTGGGAGGCGAAGGTGGCGCCATGTGCAATTAGCTACAATGCTGGGATCAGCGCGGGCGAAAAGAGGGGGCAGTGGCAACAGGCCTTCGTGCTGCTCCGCGCGATGCTGGACGCGAAGCTGGGACCCAACGTCGTGGGTTACGGCAAGCGGGCAGGGCCGGCATGCGCTGCGGCCGCGGGCCGCCGGGCTGGGGCAGCTCCGGCTGCCTTCGCGGGCGGCCTTGCGCACGGAGCGGTGCTGGCCGGGCCAGGGCCTCGAGCGCTCCCGCGGCTGCGAGGCCAAGGCACGCAGGGCGGCTCGGCCGGGCGGGCGGCGGGCGGCGGCGGCTGGCGGCGCGAAGACCGCGCGATGGCCGGCGGGCCCGCAGGGCCGCCTAAGGCGACCGCGGGCGTCGGCAGCCCAGCCAGGGGGCCAGCCGGAGGGAGCCAGGTGCAGCGGCCCCTTTCGCTGCGGACTTGGCCAGGGACTGGGACTGAGTATTGTTCGGCGGGTGGGCGCAAGGCGCGCCCCGAAAAGTGCACGACGGAGCGGCCCAGGTCGCGGCGCCGCGCGACGAGCAGCAGCTGCAGCAGCACCAGCACCCGCCTGCTCAGAAGCAGCAGCGAGAGGAGGCAGAGGAGAACGACAGGAAGAAGGGCTTGGGCCGCGACAGCCAGCAGACCAAGCGAGGCCAAACGCCAGCTCCCGCACCGACGGCAGGACCCAGACCGCGAGATAACACGGTCGGGTGTCGGCGAGGACACGCCAGTCATCGCCAGACAGCCCCTTCGCCTCCGACGCCACGACAGCAGCAAGCCAAGCGCTGCACCGACCCAGGCTCCCGGTTGACTTCGAGATCACAAAATCACAAAAAGAAGGTATTCTTATAAGGACTCTGGCGCCTCAGGGGGGGCGAAGGAAAGGGCACGCGAGAGCAGGCAGCACTGCGGCGACCAGGCATCGCTACCACCACGACCGTGGACGGCAGGCAGCCCCTAGGCAACGGCAGCCACAGCAGAAGCAGCAGCAACAGCAGGAGCAGCAGCAGCAGCAGCAGCAGCAGCAGCAGCAGCAGCAGCAGCAGCAGCAGCCGCACCAGCAGCAGCAGCAGCAGCAGCAGCAGCAGCAGCAGCAGCAGCACCAGCACCAGCAGCAGCAGCACCAGCACCAGCACCAAGCATGGCAGCGGCCAGGACGACAGCAATCAGCAAGGCCCGCCGCCACCCCAGATGGCCACTCCAGCCGTCTGGCCGCCGACGGCTGGGGGCCGGCGCCAGCTGCAGCCCGAACCCCCCAAGAGGAAGAGCCCCATCCCAACGGTAGGACTCCCCTGGGACCAGTTCTCCATCGGGGTTCGCGCGGCTCCGCTGCGGTCCCCGGTGGCGACCGGGCTTGCACAGCAAGCCCACAGGAACAACGCAGCAACAACTTCGACCACGAGAGGCGCGACAACTCCCAACCGCAGCGCCGCGAGCAGCAACACAGCGATTACGACCAGCAGCGCAACCACGACAAGGACAAGCAGCACCACCACGACGACAACCGGCACCAGCGGCAGCACCGTCACTGCGACCAGCAGCAGCAGCAGCAGCAGCAGCAGCAGCAGCAGCACCACCACCACCACCACCACCACCACCACCACCACCACCACCACCACCGGCTGCAGCAGCAGCAGCAGCAGCAGCAGCAGCAGCAGCAGCAGCAGCACCACCAGCACCACCACCACCACGACAACCACCGACACCAGCAGCAGCACCGCAACCACCACGGCGACACCCTGCACAACCACCAACACGACTGCGACCAGCACCGCCACGACACCGGCGACCGGCAGCCAAACGACGACGACCAGCGACACCACCGGTGTCGCGACGACAAGCAGCATGACCACAGCAGTACCACCATCACGACGACGACGCCCAGCACCACCACCGCCCACCAAGGCTGCGACTGGCACCAGCACCGTCGCGGCTGCGACCAGCTGCGCCTCAGCGGACACCACGAGCAAAGCAGCCCAGCCCGTTCTCCAAGGGACGCGCGCTGGGGGCTGCGGGGCCCGCAGGCCGGAGAAGCGAGCCACACGGGGCCGCCCGACGAGCCACCAGCAACGCCGCCACGAGGGCGATCGCAGAGGGAGCACATCTCGGGCGAATCTGCGCCACTGCCCAGAGAGGCTAAGCAAGACGCCACATAGCGAGCCTTTCCGATCACCAGGCCGCTCCTTCTCGCCAGGGCCACTGGGGCCGAACCCCTTCAGCGCCGTCTTCGGGCAAGTGTTCGTGGGTGTGCGGAACTTCGCGGACGTATTCGCCCCACGAAACGCTGGGCAGGGCGAGGCAGCAGCAGCAGCAGCAGCAGCAGCAGCAGCAGCAGCAGCAGCAGCAGCAGCAGCAGCAGCAACAGCAACAACAGCAGCAGCAGCAGCAGCAGCAGCAGCAGCAGCAGCAGCAGCAGCAGAGGCAGCGCCAGCGGCGGCAGCAGTGCCAGAGGCGCCCGAAAGATGTGGACCTAGTCCGACCGCCGCCCGTTGCCCAGGACACACATGCCCAGGCCGTCCCTGCCTACAACGGTTCCCGGAGGGCCACCGGAAGCGAGGAACAACCGCCACCGGAGCCACCCCTGCTCCGGGTGCTCTGCTGCCGACGCGCAGGCCCGCCCCCAGTTCAACGACTTGCACGGCCGCTGCCTGGAATGGTCCCCCGAGTTCGCAGCGAGAGACACCAGCAGGAGGACCACGCAGTGGCTCGAGACCTGGGTGTGCCCGCGATGCGGGGCGTCCTGCGCTGTCGGCATGCTCGCGCCACAGGGCGGTCACCAGGTGCGCGCGAAGTGCCTGCGGCTGGGCTTGTGGCGGGGACCAGCACGACCAGAGAATGGAGATGGGGCGTGTTCGACTCAGACGCCTGGGTAAAACAAGTACCGCCCGCCCCACGGGCCGCGGCAGCGGACAGCCAGGGCAAGAGCACGAACGGTCGCCAGAGCCAGGAGCAGACGGCGGGGGCCCCGACCCGCCAGCAGACGCTCCGAGACCACGCCCGAAGCAGCGCCACCTCCAGCACCACCACCACGCCGACCACCAGCACCAGCAGCAACAGTGACCACCACGACGACGCCCAGCACCACCACCGCCACCAATACGACCGCGAACAGCAGCCAAACGACTACGACCAGCGGCGCCACCGGCACGACGACGACTTTCAACAACACCAGCAGCAACACCACCAGCAGCACCACCACGACGACGACGCCCAGCATCACCACCGCCACCACCCCGACCGCGACCAACACCGCCACGACGACGGCGACCAGCAGCCAAATAACTACGACCAGCAGCGCCAACAGAATTACGACGGGCAACTCCAGGAACACCAACCACACCACTACCACCACGACGGCGACGCCCAGCACCACCACCACCACTGCCACCACCGTCAACGCGACCGCGTCACAGGCTGGGCCCCGCTGCAGACCCCTCTGCAAGCTCCCACCAACTCGGGCGTCTACGTGCCCCTGCTGCTGGCGGCGGCTGGACCGCTCGACCTGGCAGCGGCGGAACAGTGGAGCGCGCACCGCCTCACGCGGGACTGGCGACAGCCGTCGGTGGAGACATTGCAGCACGCAAAGCCTGTCCTCGCAGAGCGGCTCGCCCAGGAACTCGAGTTCGCGGGCGCACGCCCCGGGGCAGTGCACGCTGCGAGGGCAGCCAGCGGCGGAGAACGCCCTGGACACGTGCACACGGCGCCCATCGTCCGAGTTCTGGCGGACAGCACGGGTCACATGGCCAACCGAGTGCAAGACCTCTTGCTGGAAACGTTCGGAGGCGCAGTTCTGGCTCGCGGCGTGGACCCGCGCACAGACGAGCTGCGAGACCAAGCGAAGTGGGCAACAGGTCCTCGAGGCCCCGCTCGAGGCCCCGAGGAGGGCGACGACGGCGCCAGAGGAGGAGGAGGAAGAGGAGGAGGAGGAGGAAAAGGAAGAGGAGGAGGAGGAGGAGGAGGAGGAGGAGGAGGAGAGGAGGAGGAGGAGGAGGAGGAGGAGGAGAGGAGGGAGAGGAGGGAGAGGAGGAGGAGAGGAGGAGGAGGAGGAGAGGAGGAGGAGGAGGAGGAGGAGGAGGAGGAGGGGAGGAGGAGGAGAGGAGGAGAGGAGGAGGAGGCGGAGGCGGAGGCGGCGGCGGCGGCGGCGGCGCGCGGCGGCGGAGGCGGCGAGGCGGCGGAGGCGGAGGCGGAGGCGGAGGCGGAGGCGGAGGCGGAGGCGGAGGCGGAGGCAGAGGCAGAGGCAGAGGCAGAGGCGGAGAGGCGGGCGGAGGAGGAGGAGGAGGAGGAGGAGGAGGAGGAGGAGGAGGAGAGGAGGAGAGGAGGAGGAGGCAGAGGCAGAGGCAGAGGCAGAGGCAGAGGAAGAGGCAGAGCAGAGGCAGAGGCAGAGGCAGGCCAGAGAGGCAGAGGCAGAGGCAGAGGCAGAGGCAGAGGCGGCAGAGGCAGGGGCAGGGGCAGGGGCAGGGGCAGGGGCAGGGGCAGAGGCAGAGGCAGAGGCAGAGGCAGAGGCAGAGGCAGAGGCAGAGGCAGAGGCAGAGGCAGAGGCAGAGGCTGAGGCAAAGGCAGAGGCAGAGGCAGAGGCAGAGGCAGAGGCAGAGGCAGAGGCAGAGGCAGAGGCAGAGGCAGAGGCAGAGGAAGAGGCAGAGGCAGAGGCAGAGGCAGAGGCAGAGGCAGAGGCAGAGGCAGGGGCAGGGGCAGGGGCAGGGGCAGGGGCAGGGGCAGAGGCAGAGGCAGAGGCAGAGGCAGGGGCAGAGGCAGGGGCAGAGGCAGAGGCAGAGGCAGAGGAGGCGAAGGAGGCGAAGAAAGCGAAGGAGGCGAAGGAGGCGGCGGCGGCGGGCTGGAGGGGGACCCCGACGACGGCGACAACAACTCCAGCGAGAGCAACTCCAGCACCGACGAAACCAACAACGACGCCGAAAAACACCCACGCCCAAGCACAGCGAGAGGGACCTGACGAAGCATCCTGGGCAGCCCTAGGAAACATTAACCTCGAAAACAAATTTCAGAAGCTTGTGCCGACGCTGCAGAACTTGCCACGTTTCCTGCGCGCGGAGGCCCGGCTGGCGTCCACCATGGCCCGGCGGAAGATTCAAAGGGGGCGCGACCAAAGCCACCATGCAACAATCCAGCAAGGATGGGCGCTGTTCCTTCTTGCCTCGAGGCCCCTGCTAAGCAAGCCAAAAGGCACCGACGCAGCAGGCCGACAGGAGCTCATAGAGCGCGCCAGGCGCTTTCGCCAGGGCGACTGGCAGGCCTTACTACACAAGGCCAACGCCACAGCAGGCGCGCGCGCGCAGCGCCGAAGCCAGCCACGGAAGAGCAGCAACAGGAGCGACGGAGAGAACAAGCCTGCACCCACGTCCGCCACGGCAACCCGTCACGCGGGTCACAAGTTCTCCCTGCGGCGGCCACCTGCGCCAGGCGACAGGGAGACAGAGGACAGTCTGCGGGACCCGACCCGCCGACAGCCCGCCCTGAGCCGCCAGCCCCCCACCGACCTGGACAGCGCATCCACGAGGGCGCGACTGGACAAAAACAGATTCCTCGCCTGCGCCGGGTCCGCCGATAAGGGCGCAGCAGCAGGACTGTCAGGAGTCCGAGCCAAGCATCTCAAACCGCTGCTGGGACACAAAAAATCCAGGGACCTTTGTGGATTTGCCGCCGCTGCCCTCCCAGAGGCGCGGGCGCCCGCCCCGATTTCTCGAGTCGTGGCCCCCTGCGAGACGACGGCGCTCCAGAAACCAGACAACGGAGGCCGGGGCATCGCCACAGGCGACGTCTCCCGCAGACTGGTCACCAAGGCGCGGACTCAGCAATTTGCCAAGCAGCTCGCGCAGCAACCGCGCCCTCCCAGCTCGCCCGAACCACTCGCGCGGGGACCGACAGCGCTGCCATGCTGCTGAGATCAACGCTGGACCACGACGAGGACGCAGTCATAATCAGCATCGACAAAAACAGGTACCTTCGACCACGTATCGCACTCTGACGTCTTCCAGGCGCTCACGCCCTGAACTGGCCAGCCGCACCCCCGTCGTGAAGATGTGATACGGGCAAGACTCCACCTACCTCTGGCAGGACGACGCGGGGACCGTACACGATGTGCGGCAGGGCAAGGGGGTGGAGCAGGGGGACGCGCTGGCCCCGGCTCTCTTCGCACTCGCTCTCCACGGGGCGCTAGAGAGCGCTGCAAGGAGGCTCGACCAAAGGGGACTTGTTTGTAGCTTTCCGTGACGACGTGCACATCAAGACCACGCAAAACAGGGCAAAACAGGCCCAGAGCAGCTTTCGACAACACGCCAGCGCATACCACCTCCACGCAATCGTGGACTGCCACCTTCGCAAATGTCGGGCCCACCGCAGAGGCGAAGGCGCAGCACCACCAGGAATCGGCCAAAGCGGACAAGATGTCTGCCGGGAAAACACTGCGCCACCCGACCAGGGAATCAAAGTTCTGGGCACTCCGCTCGGCTCCCCTGACGTTGTGGCCGCCCACCTCGCGGGCAAACTGCGTGAGGAGAAAAAGTTCTTGGACCGAGCTGGCGCACTTGCCCGACCTGCCATGCGCATGGCTCCTCCTCCTCCTCCTCCTCCTCCTCCTCCTCCTCCTCCTCCTCCTCCTCCTCCTCCTCCTCCTCCTCCTCCTCCTCCTCCTCCTCCTCCTCCTCCTCCTCCTTTTTCTCCTCCTCCTCGTCCTCCTCCTCCTCCTACTCCTCCTCCTCCTCCTCCTCCTCCTCCCTCCTCCTCCTCCTCCTCCTCCTCCTCCTCCTCCTCATTTTCCTCCTCCTCCTCTGCGCTTCCCCGCGGACATCCACCTGCTACGAACGTTTCCGCCTGGAGGACTTGCCGCGTACGCGAAAGACCACGACGCAGGCATGTGGACCACCCTGCGCCGCTCCCTCGTGGACCCCGAAATGTCGCAAGAGGGAAGCAACAGGCGCGCGCACTGGCAGCAATGCCAGGGAGACACAGAGGACTCGGGCTTCAAAGCGCTGCGCGTACGTCCCCGGCGGCCTCCTGGGGCGCGCGGGCAAACGCCTTTCACATGCTCCACCAGCGGCGCCTTGTCGAGGCTGCTGTAATCAGGAACCCCCTCGCTGGCAACCAGCCAGGCCTTAGGGGCAATCTCGACGTCGTCGCCGCCAAGGCCGCACAGGCGCTCGAAAAAGAAGGCTACCAGAGACCAACCTGGACCGACCTGCACCACGGGCTCCGCCCCAAAACTGCCTCCGCGCTCTGAAGCCGCCAAGCCGGGGGGACGGCAGCACGGCTGGCAAATCCACGCTTGTTCCACACGCAACACCTACTGCAGGGACAACGTCTTCATGCCAAGCCTCACAAGGCCGAACCAAGCCAGGCGAAGCTCAGCCTCAGGACCAAAAGCTGTCTACAGGCTACACACGTTTCGCCGTAGGGCTGTGCACATTCGTCTAAAAAGAATGCAAGAAGTTCACGGACGTAAGGCAAACTGCAACAGCTTCACGGATGGAGGGCGTTTCCTTTTCGAAAGTTTATTATCGCATTAGCGCCGCGCACATTCGTTTCAAAAGTTTACCAGAGCTTCACAGATGGAGCGCGGCTCATTTTTTTCAAGTGTGGATAGCGACTTGGCACCGCGCGCATTCGTCTGAACAGCATGAAAGAGTATCACGCGTGGAAGGCGGTTCCGTTTCAACATGTAGCTCTCGCCTTCGCACCGCGCAAATTCGTCTTGAAACTGTGCAAGGGCTTCACGGATGGAGGGCGGCTCCGTGTTCAAAATGTGCCTCTGGCCCTAGCGCCGCGCACA